CATAAAGTAATTTTATGAATTTGTTAATTTGACAATTTAAACTCTATTTTACGAAAGTGATAATGGTTTGAGTAATTATTCAAAAACCACTGTTTGTACATGATATTAAATACCTATTTAACATGCAAGGCCTTTGCTAATGATAGCACTTGAGTACATTTAAAACTAATGTTTATGGAGAAAAAGAGAAATGCTAGTGTATTGAGTATATTTACAAATGTTTTAAATAAAATCGTCAATATGTTTAGAAATACAATTTCCCCATGTTGCAAGCTAACATACATATTTACCTCATTATGCCATGTCATATTTACTTTTCTCAGTGCTGAGACAAAATCCTCAACATCCAAGGGTGGCAAAGTTTATTGATTTCACAGTTAGTGGAAATTTCAGTTCATAATTGCCTAGGGGCAAGGGAGGGTGGCTTGGCGGAAGGGCATGTGGAGGACAAGTATTTCGCAGCGTTCCATGACATGAAAAATGAAGGACAACCAGAGCTGTTTCAAACCTTTTATTTTACCAAAACGTTTAGGATGAGTAGTACTCACACCCTTAATGAGCCTAGCACTGCACAGAGAATCAATCACATACTCTTGATCCCACCACCTTTGAAACAGCTCCACCTATGGACCATAGGAGGCTTTGAGGGGGCATCAGAATACAAGCTAAAACACCTCAGGGAGTAAACAAATATCTAATGATAAAGTCTCCATTAAAATAGGCTATTTTAAGCAATTTTCCCTTCAATGTCCTAAGGTTAAATCTACACTGAAGACTTACAAAATCCTATGGTATCATTTAAAGTGAAGCGCCTACTTGAATGCTCTGTAGCCTCTCCCTGATCTATGTTGTCTGTGTTTGTCAGAAACCATTAAATGTCCATGTTGGAAAATGTAGAAGGAGCTTGTTTACCAAAAAAATAAGTTGTTGAGACAAATTATTCTGAAATGTCCTTTCTTCAAAAAGTAAATATCTCCTCACTTGCAGGGGCATGCAGAAACACTGAAATGCCACTCTCAATTTGGAGGCGGATTTATAACTCATTTTTCCTTAAAATGGCTCATTTTAGTCATTTTTACAAGAGTCTGAATCATGAGTTTGTTAGGCAATGTGTCTTAAAGCACAAATCCTTGGTGCAACTATCTTACATTAGTGTGAAGCAAAAGTTATTTGTGTATATTTCTCATTTCATGACAATATTTATTATTTGACTAAATATACTTGTTATTCTAGTTGCCCCCATCCCAGAGAGTATATCATTATCAGGTTTTGTCCTAGATCCCTGATCTCCCAGAAGAGTATATGGAGGAAGTTAAATAAAAAGAGAAAAATTATATGATTTATAGGACTCCAGAAGGATCAAAACCCTCTAATTAAGCTCGTGGCTTTGCTGGTAAAGACAAAGGATATTCTGGGTCAGTCCAGTTATATTAGGATCAAGAAAAAAGGGTGGAGAAACTGAGGAAAGTGCAGGCAATGAGAAGGACCTTGGGTGTTACTTCAAGGACGTCTCCAAGTAATGAATCAAGTCAATTCAGTAGCACTGTCTTACCATAAAGACATGGTAGGAGTCAGACTGTAAGAGTAATCTTTGCAGCTGCAGTCTCTACTTTGTTAATTAGGGTTGGAGCCAGAGTATTGGCAGCTGTGGCCTTATCTTGCCCTTTGAGGTATCTCTGGCCTCACAGGCCACTACAGGCCCCAGCCAGGACCAGTGATTGATAGAGGTTCACTTACCATGAATGAGCTCCCATCACCAGGCAAAGGCCTAGGCCTAGGACAGACTCACAGATTAACATAGAAAGCCAATTAGTAAAATTTAAATCCTGTTGAGAGCTGCTTAGTAGTGATCTGCAACACATCATGAGTAACATCATATTTGAACCAGACATATGACTCACACCTGTAATTCCAGCACTCAGGAGGCTGAGTCAGGAGGATTGACATGAGTATCAGGCCAGCCTGGACTACAAAGTGAGTTTAGAGTCAGCCTGAGCTACACAGTGAGACCCTGTCTCAAAACAAACAAGCAAACAAAAACCCAAATAAAGACAAAAACAAAACATGTTTATTAGGCACTTAGTGTCACCTCAATTGGGCTAAGACACCAAAAGTTTTGCCCCATATCACCTTGCACCATTATGTCATTTCTCAGCATAGAGATAAAAGCAGATATGATAAGTAATATCTTACCATTGTTTTGAACTAGTTTTAACACCACAAATCCTTGCATATCAGATGTTTAGGGATAATAGTCACTGTCTTTTCTCCCTTCTGTCAGGCGCATGATTGACTTACAACTAAACACTGATGTTTCTCCGAAATGTGTAACTTTTTCAACAATATCTCAGAGCAGTTATAGAATATTCAACCTGACTTCCAACTTTACAGAGGAGAAGCTGCAAATGCTCAAGTAAAATACAACAATGCAGCTCTAATCAGAGAGAATAATTTCTTCTCAGGGACCACTGACAAAATGTACAATAAGCCTGCATAAACATTTACAGCAACTGGCAAAGTAATCAATCCCAGGGTTAGTTTCCCAGAGGGCACACAGCAGTGCTGAAGTAGATGTTACTCAGGGATAATACAATTGCCGGTTTTACCCAACAATAAGCAAGGAAAGGTAATACTCATTGTGTAACAGCCTACCAAGTGTTGGCTTTCTATTATATTTTCATCCCTGATGTAATATTTTATCTGTTGTTTAAATTTTCTCTAGAAAAATGGCAAACTTATTTTATCATTTTAATTGCCAATCTGCTACATAAAAATTAGCACAATAACATTGTCAGGCTATTACCATATAGTATTATTGACATTAAAGTCTTAATTTACTTGATCAAAATTATTTTGCTTCTAGGAACATCATACTGAGAATAGTTTTATAATTTACTTTTATTATTAAATTTTAATGTTTTTCAAGGAAGCAATCTTTGTCTTAGCATACTTCATATAGAGTATATTGCAGTAACATTTTGTAAGGAGAAACTATATCACCATCTGTTCATGTAGTGCTTTAAATGAGAGTATCAATTTGACTCCCTATTTTTCCCCTCCTAACCTGTAAGAAGCACATTTATTACTCAATAATAAATGTCATATATTTTTGTTAAGTGTCATATTTTAAACCAACATTGTTTCCTGAATCCATGTTTTCTTGAAAATATCTTTCCTATCATTTCATTTTTCAAAACTAGTCTTTTTTTCTGCATGTGGCTAATTTTAAAAAGGTTAAGCTGATTGAATATGTTCCTTTACCCTTCTAACTATATAATTATCATACATTTTCTATTTATCTACCTCTTCAAAAAAGCAACTAAGACGGTACTAAAGAAATATAAACTTCCCTTTGCAAATTAATTTACACATTATTGCATGTTTTATGAGAAAACAGCAGGCTTCCCACTTTTCATAGCTACTAAAATCTCAAATACCTTTACTTTTTCACATATCCACAGGAATTCAAGTACTCATTTTATTCAGAGTCCTCTAAGATTTGAGACCTACTTGCACCTTATCCAAGACATCATCACTACAATCCATAAGCATTTTTAAAAATGTAGTTTTGGCTCTGAGATAGTCCTCTCCCATGAAACATCTTTCTCAAAAGAATAACATGGAAATACATTTTTCAATTAGAAAAATGAAATATTATTTTATAAAATAATTGCATCAAATTTAAATTAATTCTTAACAGTATAATGCAAGACTCCTGGTAGTAATATTTCACCCTATATATGCCACGATTTCAATAGGAAAGACTTTCATAAGCTATTTTTTCTTTTACAGTCAATTATCCATAACTATATTTCCATGATGATAAATCAATAAATTATACCTAGTTTTCTTTTTATTGTTATGTGAGGAGGCTGCAGTACATGCAGATGACTTGTTTTAAAAATCTCACTCTACTTATCATTTAATCTACCCAACCTTTATTTAATTAATAAACATTCCTTTGTGAAAATCTAATCAGTCATTTTCAATGATAGCATCACATGTAGTTCACGTGCCACAATTAATTAACATTTATGTTCTTGCAAGGCTTTGCTCTCTCACATAACACTGCAATAAACATTCTTATGTATGTCTTTTTTTTCATGATTATGCTAGTTTTATGAAGTATATAACCAACAGTGCCAGTGAGGAGATCAGTTTCAGTAAATAATGTCAAGCTACTCTTTAAAATGGTTAAATCATTTCATGTTCTTGTTAGTTCTAATATTTGCTTCAACATTTCTTGCCAATATGTTTACTTCTGCAGTACCATGATATCAAGCTGATGGAATTTGCTGTTTACTAGTGATACGTTATGTTTTCACATGAATATCTTAATTCATGTTTTTTTTTTGCTAATCTACTTTTATGTGGTTATATAATATGTTTGGATTTTTTATTTTCTGAAACTTACTCATGAAATAGTAACATGATATTTCTTGCAATGCATCTCATTCTAGGATGTTTTCTACCATGTCTTGGAAATTGTAAGGAATTGTTTACAAAGTTATGTGTTCATAATTTTATTTTTAAATTCTGTCTTTTCTGTGTTTAAATTTTTTTCAAAAAAACTTTTATCTGATGCAGTTCCCATTTTGAAGGTAGGCCTTGAAGTTATTTAGATGTTGAATCTAAACTTTTGTATATTTAGAACTCTAATTATTTTATCAGATTTTTATAGCTATTTTCACATTTTCTTCTATTCAGGGAAGATTCTGCTCCACTACTTTTCCTAACTATGCTATAAAAAATACTATCTATACTATAAAAATACTATAAAAGTATTTTTAAATTTTTTTGAATTTTGTTAAAAATAGAAATTCAAAGTCTTTACTCCTAAGACTACCAAGAGATCTCCACAAATACACTGGACAAAATCAAAATGTCCAACTCCCTCACTTAATGCTAAAGATTTCCCTTATTACTGAGCCTCGTTCCATTGGTACTACTATCTAGATAGTACCAATGGGGTAGTAGCCAATGGGAAGTGTATGGAGCACATGTGTAGGACATTCACTTAAAAGGAAGTCACAAGTTCTGTGCTACTTGTCCCAATGAGCCTAGATTCTTGTTGGGTGTGTTGTAAACAGAGAAGCCATTCTTCAGGCCACCTGCTCTGAGCACATCCCACTGTAGAAGTGTTCTTTCATTATTTTTGTTATGCAATTTTTTGATAAAATATTCTAAGCACCTAAGTTTTGAGTTTAAACCCTAAATTTACATTTTAATTTTAAATTTAGTTATTTTCTTTTTTAAATAAAATTTATAATTAATAGATTGGATCTATTTTACTCCTGCTGAACACTTTATCTTCTCTCTGAATTCTGATATTTTAAAATGTCTTTACCTCGTGATTGAATGAGACAATTATTTAAAAGATGACTTACAGAGAGATTCATCACTGAAGACTATAGTGTGAACACTGAGAGAGGCTCTGAGGCATCGGCATGATCAGAAGACACCTGACAACATCGAGTGGCAAGGAGAGAAAGTAGTAAACTAAAGTTTTAAAAAGACACAGAAAAAAGTCAGAGTAGCTAGAGTAAGAAGAAAAGCGTCTGATGGATCCCAGCTCTGTCACAGGGCAGGCCTGTAGATGTAGACCTGTAGTGCAGGTCTACTGCGAGAATCACACAGAGTCCTGTAGGGAAAGGAAGTGCTGGGGTGGCTGGGCTGGACACCTACCAACTCTACCAGCAGGTTCAGTAGTTCATTATCTGGGAAATGAGGCTCGCAGACTGAAATATCCCTTAAAGAAATTCTTCCTGGTCCAGGAAGCAGGGACCACTGTTCAGAGAGAGACATAGTGGGTCCCAGTGAAACTAGAGTCAGCTAAGTGCTGGTGGCTGAGCAAGACAAAGTGCACAGCCCTGCCTCAGACTAGAATACTGCCTGCACCTGAAATGGCCTCAGCAGCTGAGACTATGAGATCTGATAAATCTTACAAAAATACTTTTAAAATTCTTGATTTCTATTCAATTTTACATTTCTAGAATAACATGAAATACACACTAGCTAGCTTTTATCTTGTCAACTGTGTTTAGTCCAATATTCCTCTTCCCAGAGTTATTTTTAAGAAAGTCAAATTGCTGGAGTGGAGTTACTTTTAATCAAAGTTTGTTCTTATATTGAATATATATATTTGCTATCTATATTATGAACCATAGATATCTACATTTTAACCACCTTAAAGAAAATTTTTCTCTACTACTGAATCATAAACATTTAATCACCAGTAACTCTTTTGAAATATTTCAATTGCACCTTTAAATTTTCTTTAATGCATTATCCTACTAATAATACACAATTACAGGCCATGCTTTAAGGCTATTTTTCTGAGAGTCTTTGCAGAGACTTGAATTTCATGCTGCCATCATGATAAATTAAGCAGCTAGCCTGAGGTGGTGATTACTACTGCTTGGCTTTTCTTGAGCTAACCACGGATGTTAGTGAGTTTAAGAAGTAATTGTTTGACTTATTTACTTATTTAAAGAGTTTGTGAAAAATTCTGTGCATTGGTCATGACATTTTTCTTCATTCATGTGAAGATATAGAATAGAACATAATTAAATAATATCAACATGTATGACAGTAGAAAACTATAATCATAATGCCTTATGTCATCCCAATGCACAAGAAATCTTCAAGTTAAGGCAATTAAAGTATTTATCATTAGTGTGTTAATGACTATATCTCAATTACATCTTAAAATGCCTTCATGTTTATATTCATGTTTCTTATAAACATGCAAAAGGATTCTGCAGTAATACTTTTCAGAGCTCATTCATGAGAATTTTAAATGAAAAATATGTTTTTGTTTAACAAAAGACAAATATTGAGAAAAATTTTGTGATTAAAGAGAAACCTTAGATTGCTCAACAAGTTAATATAATTATGGTAGTTTATATTATTTTTCATTATATTTAACTGAAATCAATATTTTAACTTATTAAAATAAAATTATTAGCATTTGACTTAGCCATTGATTTGCTTTGTTGTAAAGCAGTGTTTTCAGTTTAGAGATCCCAGATTTAAATATTAGGCTATTTGTTTTTGATTGATTTAAACTTAAAAATAAACTCTTAGTAATTTATATCTACTATATAATCAGGGATTTTACTTTTAATGCATTTTATAACAAAATAAGAAATTATACTAGGCCACTTTTGAAATTTTAGTATACATTTCTAAATTATTTATATAGTCATTATTGACAAATATATTAATATTAAACAATTTGAACTAAATTAATAAAAACATTGCTAAATTAAATCTCTTTTCCAAGTCTTTTGACTCTTTAATTAGAAATGTTTGTATTTGAGCTTCTGAATATTCCATTACCTCTAAAAATGTTTCCTTGATTAATATAAATTGAGGTAACCATTTTTTCAAAATTGTTTTCAAACATACTTTCTCCAAGCTCAAAGGGAACATGCTTCCAGTCCCTTATCTTTTTTTCTTAATTTTATGTCCTTCTTACACTAGATTGCTAAAGATTCTCTCTTTGATGATTTACGAGTACCCTGGGAATCTATTGGCAGCCAGAGTCAGAGTAAGAGTGCTGAGTTCCAGTCAGTAGGAGATAAGGGAACCAAGTTTAGGCAAGCAGGAGACACCTGGAGAGTTACAAGCTGAACAAATGTGGCTCCAGTCTCACACCAGAAATCAGCCTAAATTTTAGTGGAACCAAACGTATAAACTTTCGGGAATTATCTACTATCCCTCCATAAAGTTATAGACAGTTTGGTGGGATTAATGAACATGGATCTGGATATTGTTTGTCCACTTTATCTATGAATAATGGCAGAGACATGCCTCGAAGTGGACTTTTTTTTTCCTTCCTTTGTCCTCCAACCTTTCTTCTAATCTCTTCTTCTTCTTCTGTTTTTCTATTTTCCCTCTAACCCCTTTTAAATTTTCTACCGAGGGGACAAAATCATCATATTGATGGCTTATTTACTGCATGCAATTTCCTGGTTTGTTTTAGATTTTGTTACATAGTCACAAATCTAATTCACCTGATTAAAAGTGGTAAAGGAATTAAATTTGTCATTTTCTAGGCTGTGCTTGATGCTATTGTTACTGTTAATTGCAGTGCTTAACTAAGGTGACATAATTTTTCTAATCTGTTCATCTTGGTATGTCAAGACTGACAGTGCCAAAGAGTCCTAATACCATAGGCCAGAGCCAAAAGCAGAGGCCAAGTGGGCAGCAACTTATCATCTCCAATAAATTGAATAGGCAGGATCTTACAAAACCCCAAATCTAGCTACACCTAAGAGATACCTCTGAAAAAGTCATTTTCTAAGGGTTCTAAGTACTAGCAATAAAGCTATTCATGATAAGCAATGTACAACCATCAACCCAGGAATTAATATAAAAAGGAAAAAAGAAAACAACAAGATACTTAAAGTAATAACTCCAGACATACATCTCATCAAAGGCAAACCCAGGGAGCGATGAGGAGCAACAGGTCTAATGTCACCTATCTGGATATTCTGAAGCAGTAACCGTGAAAGTAAAAATGCAGATGAATGAGGCTGTAGAAAAAAATGAAATCAGAAATAATTTCTCAGATAACTACAGAAATGGTGAAAACAATGAAAGGCATACTTTGTGATTCTAAATCAGATATAGATTTTAAAGAGTGGAGAACCTTAGGAAAAGGATAGAAACCATGGATGCTCAATGCAGGAAAGAAGAGGAATCCATGAAACAGATTCAAAGAGATATCCAGATTATAAATTCCATTAAATGTATACAAAGCAGACTGAGCCAATTTGAAGACAGAATATCAGATATAGAAGACCGAACTGTGGACTGTGATCATAAAAAGATTTCTTAAAAATAACAAAGGACCATAAGAAATTAATCCAACAGTTGATAAGTAATGCAAAGAAGAATGAGATAGGATTCTTTGGAATTAATGAAAAAGCAGGAAATAATGAAAATAACATTAAAAACACTTCATAGAAGCAATTGCAGAATCTTCTTAAGCACAGAAAGGTAATATAACTTACAGATGAGTCAGACTCATCGAACTCAAATTAGCCATGATTCAAGAGAAAATGTCTGTATCAAAGTGTGTAATAGACAATGCTCCACAAATTCAACACAAAAATGAAAATTAACAGCTGTTGAGAAAAGAAACAAATTACTTAAAAAAGAAAGCCCAGCAGAATCACAGAAAACTTCACAACACAAACTCTGAAGTCAAGGAGAACTGGAATGAAGTATTTTAAGCCTTAAAAGAAAATAACCTCCAACCCAGATTGGTACCCCACAACACCATCTCTCAGAATTGACAGGGAATAAGATATTTCTATGACAAATAACACCTGAGAAAATTCAAGTCATCAAACAGGCACTCCAAAATATTCTGAAGGTACTCAAGAAAGAGATAACAAGGACTACAGTTCCATGAAGCCCAAGAGAATCCACCAGCCAAGGGAAGCAATTAAATGGAGTGGGAGAAAAGGTACCAACCATAGGAAAATAGTATAACAAAAAACACATCAATATATATCACTTATAGCCTACAATGTTAATGGTATCGGTTCACCAATTGAAACAATTAGACTGTCAGGATGGATCAAGAATTATCAAGAACTAAGACCCAACAATATGAATAAAATGTGAATAAATTTAAAATCCTTAATAAATAACATATTTTTAATTGACAAGTAAATAATATATACTTAGGAACATAGGAGAAAGAACCAGAGCTAAACTGATTCTTTTTCTCTCACCGTAGCTGGTAGAATCTACATCTCTTGAGCCCTTGGGATATCAGTGTAGTGCTAACATCAATACTGTTCTCAGAACTTCAGACTCAGACTGAGACCTGTACTGGCTTTTCTGTCTAGGCCCTCCTGTTATGTGTGATATTTGACTGTGTTGAAACACTTATCTACTCATTTAATGTTCATCTCTTCTGAATATGCTCTCAATAGACACATCTAGAAGTAATAGTTCACAAAACATCTGGGCATCCCTTTACACAGTAAAGATTGCATCATGAGCATCTATCCAAATTTGAAATTCATCCTCATTTTATTACAGTTGTATATGTGTGTTGGACTAAGATATCAAATACTTTTCAGTATATATGTATAGAAACATATGTATA